ACACACACACACACACACACACACACACACACACACACACACACACACACACACACACACACACACACACACACACACACACACACACACACACACACACACACACACACACACACACACACACACACACACACACACACACACACACACACACACACACACACACACACACACACACACACACACACACACACACACACACACACACACACACACACACACACACACACACACACACACACACACACACACACACACACACACACACACACACACACACACACACACACACACACACACACACACACACACACACACACACACACACACACACACACACACACACACACACACACACACACACACACACACACACACACACACACACACACACACACACACACACACACACCGTACATGTACACAAAGTCATACCTTTGAGTCTGTACTGTACAGCGTAGCCCAGCACCGGCCGGACCGCATTCAGCACATCGTCATGGGTACACACGCCATACTCGCTCCGCATCGTGCGGAAACGCTCGTCCACTGGCGAGCGTCTAGTGGGGCACTCGGCTGACGGCCAGTGCACGTGAAACGAGAACGGGCTGACTTTGGTAAAGGAGACATTGGCAACGTCACTGACATCTTCTACATAGTGCACAGAAACAAAAAAGTAGCAGTATCAAATGATCAACAGGGCACTTGAAGGCATTAATGGTGCATTCATATCTCTCTTACTTCAAACTATCTGGACATCAGTCTAACGGGTACTGTCCCTGCGGGCGAGTTTTAGTGGAAATATTACGACTCTTTTGCCATTTTTGTGGAAATAGTGAGGTCGTATGCCAGATCTCTGGCCCATCCCCAATTGAAACACACTTCGAATCAGAGTTATGGACATTTCAAAGCTATGAACAGTGCCTGGTGCCAGACTGCCCAAGAGAGATACGAGTGTGTTGGGAATTGCTGCCCAACTGGTCGAACCATGAAAAAAAAGGTGCTGTGCATGATGACAGTGCATCTGTGTGTGCTCAAGTGTACACAGTAGTGGGTAATTGAAGTGCATGTTAAAAAGGCATGCATATACCCATACAGAAGCGAGCAACAACGTCACCAGCAGGTCATGCAGCAAGCAACTGCCAGAGAAAGGTAAAGGTAAGGGGAGAAGGAGCAGAAACAGGAGGAGGAAGAGGTGGAGGAAGAGGAAGAGGAGGAGGAGGAGAAGGAGGAGGAGAAGGAGGAGGAGAAGGAGGAGGAGGAGGAGGAGGAGGAGGAGGAGGAGGAGGAGGAGGAGGAGGAGGAGGAGGACAAGTAGTGACAGCAAGAGACAGCCAACGCTGATGCAAAAAGCAAGTGAGAACATGTGGCGCAGAGGAGAAATAGACAACACCAGTCATGGTGGTGTTCTACTTAGCACTTACCCTGTACCAGTGTTGTGATGAGGTCAGTGAAGCTTGCCGGTCTGCCTTTACCGTTCTGGTTGTGCACATTGAGACGGAAGCGGTACGTTGCGTTCTCCCTCAGGTCACTAACCATGACGTGGCTGGCTTCACCAGGAGATATGATGGTGGAGTGCAATATCCATTCACCACTCTCAACACCAAATCTAGATGTTCGGCGGTGCAGAATGAGCTTTGTTAGTGGTGAGCCGCCATCATCGATGTTACCTAGCTCCAGAAGAAGAAAGTTATGTCCGATGGCAGCAACGCTCAGCGAGCTGTAGTTACCTGGGACTGTACCATACACACACACGCACGCACGCGCGCGCGCGCACACACACACACACACACACACCATGTACCATGTACATACACACACACACAATATCAGTAAAGAATACTAAATATGCAAGGTTGTTGCTCCTCCCGACACACAACTGACACAAATTACACACGGTACCCGGTAGACTAGCTACTGTTGTGGACTGATTAAAATCCCATGGGATGACCGGGGCCTTAGTGCTTTTAGCGAGTACAGTCATCCCTCTCTAATCCGGCACCTTTTGCAACGGCATTTTCTGCTGGATAAACAAGGGTGCTGGATTATCAAATCCTGCCCTCCAACCCGGCCCACCTGTTACCATACATGTTTGTGTCGTACGTCAAAACGTAGGGATTTTCTGTGTCAATCCAAGTACTTTGTGGAATGCATGTCTCTGTAACACTTGGGAATATCCTATGCACTGGCATAGGATATTCCCAAGTGTATGTAATATGTGTTGTGTATGTTACAATGCTCCCTGACAGTATGCGGTGTACAACTGCTGGATTAGAAAATCGAATTATGTACAGTTTGAGTGATTTGTTGCAGAAAATCGCTGCTGGAGGCGGAATTCAAGTGCCGGATTAAAGCGTTGAAAATGAACTGAAAAAAATCCGTTTTGCCAGAAAGTGTGCTGGTTTGCAAGGGTGCTGGATAAACAAGTGCCGGATTAGAGAGGGACGACTGTACACGCACTGCAGCTCACGTATACACTGCAAAAATGAACCGACGGTGTTCGCGGCAGCAAGGCCAGCACCCCATGGTCGCTTGACTTCTCAACGGATTTCAATGTCCACTACAGTAGATAAGAGTACATGTACATGCAGTAACAGTTACTAAGGGGTCGTCGCAAAAGTTTTTTGTCGTCCCTGAAACGAACATGATTCATTGGGGGGGGGGGGGGGGGGGGGGGTGCGAGCCAAAATCGCAAGTCCACCAACACTGTACATATGATATGTACATGCATGCGATGTTCGTCGTCCAGCATAGCAAGCTGTGTTCGTTTTAGAGGGAGGGGGGGGGGGGGTCCAAGTACGAAATGAACGATGTTCGTTTCAGGGACGACAGAAAGCTTTTGCGACGACCTCTAACCTGAGCTATTAGTCATCACCCGAAGTGGACTTGACAGAGGTGTCTGGTAAGGACCGTTGGATCCTTTCACTCGGAATTCATACTCCGTCCCCTTCGTCAGACCTGTGATGGTTGCTATGGTGATGTTGTTGACTCTGGGTACTTGCACAGGTTGCTCTTGCTTGCCACCACTCTGTGTGCTGTTGACTGTATCGTACACAACCGTGTAGAACTCTATGATGCCATCGCTCTCCCGGTGTTCTGGGGAAAGCTGCACATGCACATGCACACACGCACACACCCGCATGCACACATGCACATACACACACACATACATACACACACATACACACACACACACACACACACACACACAATTGGGGTGACAAGGAAAGGCAAGCTGGAAGACATTTCTCCTAGATCCTATTGTACCCTCTCAGTTATCATGGAGACAGTCAGTACTGGCAAACAGTTAAACTGATCATCTGTTGGCCATCTGTAGGATTTGAAGTAGAACATCCAATCCAGTACTGCCGACGTAAAACACTGCATTGGGTCCTACTTGACAATCATCGGTTTTCATGCCAACTAACCATGGCGTCTACCATGTGTTTGTTGCTGTAAGAACTTCACGCATTCTGAAACGAAAACATTTCGTCAAACGAAACGAACAAGTTGGACCAAGAACATTGCGCAGGGATTGAAGCACCTGGGGAAATGTCTGGAAAGCTCATCTCCATCTGTCTCTCTTTGTCTGTTTTACTCTGTCTGCTTCTCTCCGTGTCTCCCTGTCTCTCTGTCCTTCCTGCTCTAATGTTCCTCCATCCGTCTGCGTCTCTGCTCACGTCTCTACCAACACATTACACTGGACTGACCATACACAATGTCCTGGACTAAATACACACAAAGTCCTAGTTGACATGAGACCTTTTAAACTCCAGTGCTGCACATGGAAGGAATCGGGTGAGTCAGTGCAATGTCAGCTATCATCCGTCTGGCATGCTATTGCACGTCAACAGCAGGCTGCACATCTATAGCGAACTACACATCTACAGCGAACTACACATCTACAGCGAACTACACATCTATAGGGCTTGAAAGTGAGGACGTCAAAAACGGCCAGGGAGTAGTAAGTTGACATCAGATTTCTATTTTGGATCCACTAAGGTGTGACTTTGCTATTGCTTCAGTATGTGGGTGCATAGCAACTCACGCATGTCGTATGCAGGTGTGACTTTTTCTTTGCCACCAATTGTCACCCCACCCCCATTAGCCAACCCAGTCAATTTCACCGGTTACATCACCAGACCGCTTGAAATGTGCTTGGATCTATACCAAAACTGGATCCAAGTGGATCCAGTTTTTGACTTTTTGAAATTGTTGCTATGCTATGACGTAGCACTTTCAAGCCCAATAGCGAACTACACATCTATAGCGAACTACACATCTATACAGCGCACTGCACATCTATACAACAGACTGCACATCTACGGTATACAACAGACTGCACATCTATAGCAAACTGCACATCTATAGCGAACTGCACATCTATAGCGAACTGCACATCTATAGCGAACTGCACATCTATAGCGAACTACACATCTATAGCGAACTACACTTCTATAGCGAACTACACACCTATAGTGAACTACACACCTATAGCGAACTACACACCTATAGCGAACTACACACCTATAGCGAACTACACACCTATAGCGAACTACACTTCTATAGCGAACTACACTTCTATAGCGAACCGCACATCTATAGCGAACTACACATCTATAGCGAACTACACATCTATAGCGAACTACACAACAGCAGGTTATACAATTTATGTATGTACTGTACATCTACAGCAGGCTGCAGATCTACAGTACTGCTCAACGAAATCAGATCAGATCATGTGAATCAAGTCTGCGCCCTGTGACCCTTCACATCTCAGTATTAGCAGGTCTAGGGCTGCACAGCACCCGGCCTGGTATTCAGTAGCTTGAGTGGAATGAATCGAGCAACAGGCATGCTACACATCTACGGCAGGCGGACAGCTTACCTGCCACTGTAGAGTCACTGTGGTCTGAGACGTGTTCACAACCTGAAGACGTACCGGTGCCTTAGGGGCTAGATTGGAAATTGCATATTGGTAGTTGTACACACACGCACACACGCGCGCGCACGCACACACACACACACACACATGCACATGCACATGCACACACGCACACACACACACACACACACACACACATGCACACATGCATGCACACACACGCACGCACGCACACACATATATACACACACGTACACACACACACACACACACAAACACACACGCACAAACACACATGCACACACACACACACCACACATACACACACACACACACACCACACACACACACACACATACACACATAATGTCACGGACAGGGGATATACATATAAGGCACAAGAAGAAGGCAACCCCCCACCCCCATCCGGAAATATGAGACTTTGAGACGAAGAGGCTACTCCCTGACCCACAAAAATGATGCGGCTTCGCTTAGCATAATAGAAGATATTAACTATAATTATAACATCCTGCACGGCTGTTCAAAACTCGCGAAAAAGCGACATGAGGCCCCCGGGGTTCGAGTCCAGCTCAATCGCGTACTGGTACGTGATGTGTACGACGTTTTTTCAATTTTTTCATCGAGAACCTCCATTTCGCGATCCTCACCCACGTCTCAAACCCATCGATATTGCCTCGCCACATCGCTCACACACCACTCAGAACACCCAGTTCCCGTGCAGCAGGGGCAAAGAAAATGTTGACAACGCGATCGTTCGAGCGATCTTCTTTCTTCGTTTTGTTCTGTTGGATCCGTTTCCAGTTCTGAGAGCTTTGTTTGTTTTCGAAGTCGTTGCGCAGAAGCTGGGTTCACCGGAGGCTGTTTTGCAAAGGCTGCTGCTGCTCTTCGTCCTGTTTTCCTGAGTTAGTTTTCTTTCCTTACCTTGCAAATCCGACAGGCAAAAGAGGTAGTTTACTGGGCACTGCTGGTGTCAGTAAGCAAGATGTCTGTGAGCTATGCAGTATGGGTCAGATAGACTGCTGTCAAGAACACCATCCCTATCCTTGTCACAGTGTTCAACGAAAAAGTTGCAACACATTGATAGCCTTGTTGCAACCACATGGCAGAACAAGTCGTTTCGCCTTATTATTTTGTTTCGACGACTACGAGTTTCAAACCACTGTGCATCCGTGTGTGCACATCTTGGGTACAAAGCAGCAGCTTCGACAGCGCCCCGCTGATCAGGAGCAGCAGCCAGAGCCGCGCACGCTCGACACACTCTCACTACGCCACGGCCAGTGTATGGCTGATGGCGGGCGCTTATCTAAAAGTGTATGGCTGATGGCGGGCGCTTATCTAAAGCAAAGCTTTTCTACAATGCCATACGACCTGCCTTGCTCTCTGTGCCTATTGATCATGTATGCCTGCCAGCCCTACATCTTGACCTCGGAATCTATTTATGGGTATTTGACTCCCTTGACAAGGCGTGTAAACACATTGATTTGAAGATGGCATGTGAGGTAGAGGCAAGTGAGGCAGATTCAGCTGCCTTAGAGTCAGACTTTGAGGAGGAGTGGCCGCAAGTCATAATAATTAGTAGTGACGATGAGGCCGATGAAGAAGAACCACCACAACAATTAAAAAGCTGATAGAAGATCAGAAAGAATGTAGGAAAACATTAAAACTAGAAGAAAAGTCCAGTCAGCTTGCTGTCTTGACTGGTCAGATGCAATGGGCTGCTCTCCATTTCGGCACTCCAGAGCAGCAAAACAACCGCATGGTAACCTCCAGCATGCTGCCACGCAGATCACGGCTCTGCAGGGTCACATCAGCAAAGATGAAGAGACCCTCACAAAGGCAAAGCTCGACAACGGGCCTTGCAACCGGTATGTTGAGGCCGCTTGACAAAAGCACAACATCTGCCGCCAAGCGTATCATGGAGGCTCATTCACAGGTAACCATGTTCGTCACACTCTCACAGACTCCGTCGTCACTGACTTGACATCCTTCCTTATGGTTGTGGAGGAGCGTGCACCCTCTCTGGCTGCGGACGCTTCAGCTGTATCCAGCAGATACAAGCTGTCGTTCCAGCAGTACTCGAAGTGGCACGTTGCATTTTCCCGAACTTCGGCACTGTCAATGGAAGATTGCGACCAGTTACAGAGCGATATTGACACGAGTTTATGGCTTCAGTGCATGTCTCAGAATGTGGTCTATTCGATTTTTGTTCCGTTTCTGGAGAGGAAATATGTGGGAGAGACGGAACGATGTGTCAGGGAGCGATTCCAGGAGCATAACAGGGAAGCTAGAGTCTGTGCACCGCAAAAGCCCTGGGGAGAGCACTACGCACTGCACCAAACGCTACAACATCCACCCACCGCGCCATTCACTCCCTTCACATCACCATCAGTACTCACAAAGGAAGTGTCATACGTGAACCGCCGGATGAGGGAGGCCATCCACATATCCAGACGCCATCCGAAGGTGAACAATGATCGTGGTTGGGTGCTGCTTGACAACTGGTAAAGGGAAATTTGGATGGTGATCACTGTCACTGTTGCCACTGTCCTGCCCCGTTGTCATGTGTGCTTGTCCACGCCACTGTCATACAGTTCAGCACAATGTTGTAGCGGGAGTGAAGGTTGGTGACAGAATCTCATCTCTCTTTTTGTCCTAGTCCCACCACTAGTCCCACCTTGTTTTCATGCACTTTCGGGTTTTGTGTGTGTGTGTGTGGGGGGGGGGGGGGGGGGGTGTCTTTTGTTGCATGTGTGTGAGTGGGGGTGTGTTCAGAGTGTGAGTGCGAGTGTTGGTGCGAGTGTGTGTCTGTGTGTTTTGGCGTGTGCATGTGTGTGGGTTTGTGCATGTGTGTGTGTGTGTCTGTGTGTGTGTGTGTGTGTGTGTGTGTGTGTGTGTGTGTGTGTGTGTGTGTGTGTGTGTGTGTGTGTGTGTGTGTGTGTGTGTGTGTGTGAGTGTGTGAGCGTGTGAGTGTGAGTGTTGGTGCGAGTGTGAGTGTTGGTGCGAGTGTGAGTGTTGGTGCGAGTGTGAGTGTTGTGGGGTGAGTATGAGCGTGTGTGTGTGTGTGTGTGTGTGTGTGTGTGTGTGTGTGTGTGTGTGTGTGTGTGTGTGTGTGTGTGTGTGTGTGTGTGTGTGTGTGTGCCTGAGCCCAAAGGATGGTGTACTTTTATCACGTATGATGTAGTTTCGTTCCACTTTGTGTTGCATGATATAGGTCCACCTCACTTGTTTTTCTCTTGAATTCTGATGATGGTTCCTGGCCGAAAATTTGATTGAGAAAATTGTAATTTGCAGCAAAGACGCCACTTGAAATCAAGATGGCATTCGTAGGGTTATTTTATTCAAATCAAATTCACAGTTTGGCGATTTCGCCACGTCTCTCGTTGATTTTGCATCAGTTCGATCTTACAAACTGTTCACAGCTGTCCGGCAAGACGAGGCGCGAGGCCAGGCAACAAAGGTACACCGAACAGGGCCGTCTATTATGAGAGAATAAAACAATTTATAAGAAGAAGAAAAAGACCAAAGAGCTACAAGTTACGCTATAATTATCCACTAACATCACCAGATACTTTACAATCAGCTCATGCGATAGCATTGCACGGCACTGACCAACGGTACTGACGTTCCACACCTAACTGGTAGCTCTTTGATCCTTTTTTTCTTCTTATAAATTCATCCTTGGCTCTCCATCCGAGTCTAAATGAAACAATTGCTTCAAATTTTATATTTTCACTCGATGGATTTTGAAAATTCCTGGTCATAACGTACAATCGCTTGGCCACGCGACTGTTAGCACGTACATGTTACCATGGGATTCTGACGTACAGCACGCGCATGCACACAGTGCGTGCAGTGCAAACATCGACGCCATTTTGCCTCTCATGTCGCACTAGAAAACAGCCGTTGTGCCTGGTCAGACTTACAATTTGGCAGTGTCTCGACGACGAGTATGCCTGAATAGTCACTGAAGCCGATTGCATTCTGCGCGCGCATCCTGAACTGGTATCTTGAAAACGGTGATACCGTACTGAAGAGGGCAATTTGAAAGGGGTTTGGCCTGGCCGGGTTGTTATTAGTCCTCCACGCAGACGTGCTGTTATCCAGACGGGATACTTTACGGAACTCAATCTGTGAACAGACACAGAGAACGCTAGAAGCATTACTTGCAATCAACTGACTTCCATTTACCAATGAACTCTTGTGCGTAACTAAGGTTATTGGGGTTATCAGTTGCAGAGCTGCTTTACAAATGGCATACTAGTTTGGTGGTGGTGGTGGTGGTGTTGGTGTTGGTTGTGTTGGTGGTGTTGGTGGTGTTGGTGGTGTTGGTGGTGTTGGTGGTGTTGGTGGTGTTGGTGGTGTTGGTGGTGTTGGTGGTGTTGGTGGTGTTGGTGGTGTTGGTGGTGTTGGTGGTGTTGGTGGTGTTGGTGGTGTTGGTGGTGTTGGTGGTGTTGGTGGTGTTGGTGGTGTTGGTGGTGTTGGTGGTGTTGGTGGTGTTGGTGGTGTTGGTGGTGTTGGTGGTGTTGGTGGTGTTGGTGGTGTTGGTGGTGTTGGTGGTGTTGGTGGTGTTGGTGGTGTTGGTGGTGTTGGTGGTGTTGGTGGTGGTGTTGGTGGTGGTGTTGGTGGTGGTGTTGGTGGTGGTGTTGGTGGTGGTGTTGGTGGTGGTGTTGGGGTGGTGGTGTTGGGGTGGTGGTGTTGGGGTGGTGGTGTTGGGGTGGTGGTGTTGGGGTGGTGGTGTTGGGGTGGTGGTGTTGGGGTGGTGGTGTTGGGGTGGTGGTGTTGGGGTGGTGGTGTTGGGGTGGTGGTGTTGGGGTGGTGGTGGTGGTGGTGGTGGTGGTGGTGGTGGTGGTGGTGGTGGTGGTGGTGGTGGTGGTGGTGGTGGTGGTGGTGGTGGTGGTGGTGGTGGTGGTGGTGGTGGTGGTGGTGGTGGTGGTGGTGGTGGTGGTGGTGGTGGTGGTGGTGGTGGTGGTGGTGGTGGTGGTGGTGGTGGTGGTGGTGGTGGTGGTGGTGGTGGTGGTGGTGGTGGTGGTGGTGGTGGTGGTGGTGGTGGTGGTGGTGGTGGTGGTGGTGGTGGTGGTGGTGGTGGTGGTGGTGGTGGTGGTGGTGGTAGTGGTAGTGGTAGTGGTGGTGGTGGTGGTGGTGCTGGTGGTGCTGTGTTGGGGGTGGTGGTAGTGGTGCTGGTGGTGCTGGTGGTGGTGGTGCTGGTGGTGGTGGTGCTGCTGGTGGTGGTGCTGGTGATGGTAACGGAGGTGCTTGAAGTGGTGGTATTAGGGAGGTTTAGTCCCACGTAATCCGTGGGTACTTTACGTGTGTGTACCACGTGATACTCAGTGACACACGTACAGACGTTTTCTGATTCATGACATACCGTGTATGGAGGCTCACCCACGTTCCGCCAGAACGTGGGTGAAAATCAGAATGGAGCGCATTTTGCGAGCTGCGAGGGTGCTCAGCTGAAGAAGTTTCCGAAGCACGAAATCAAAAATATTCGATGAGCTTCTTAGGCCCGGGTAGCTTCGTCTTTGACCAGGTTTGGGCCTTTCGCTTCATGCTTTTGTTTGTTCCGTGTGACTAAACACAACAATGCAACGTGGATGCCCTTCATCCACTTTACGTGGATCACCCATGTACGCGTTTCCGTTACGTGGGAACTAAACCTCCCTAGTGATACGGGTTGTTTGGCTAAATGCACCTAGCAGGGGGGGGGGGGGGGGGCTCCACACGACCTTGCAAGCTCTTTGGAAGTAATATTGGAATTGTTAGGCTTGTAATCAGACGCCCCACAACAAAGTACACCGAGATATATAATGCTAAGTTTTCATCGTGATAGCCATGCGCATAACAGCGGTTTGAAACACTTTTATCACGAGACAAAAGTGCTATGATCTGACCCTCTGTTCAGATGACCCTGCAACACGTCCCAGCATTCAACAAGTCAAATTGAAATGGAGCATGGCTCAATGGCCTTCAATTTCGGGTGCCCCATTTTGAAATTTATTGCAATGCCACTGGTCAATACAGGGTTCGGCTCAAAGACCTACAATGCATTGCTTTACTCCATGTGTGGAACGATGCAGATATATATAACCATCTACAAACCGCCCCCCCCCCCCCTCCCCCTTTTGAGAACGCAGCATTTACCTCATAATTAGTTACAGGTGGTTGACTAGTAATGGACTGCCATTCCAGCTTGATCACCGACTGGAATGCAGAGTTCTCCAGAGGGCGAGGTGACTCTGGCACACCTAGTACATAGCAGAGCAGTGAAAAGAAACATACCAGGCGCGTAGCACCGCTGTTGGAGGTGGTCCGGTTGGAAGGGGGGGTCGGGGGTGTCCCCGGGAAAGTTTTGAAATTAGGGTGCAAAATCCTGCATTCTGGGCATGTCTGGGCGAAAAAGTGGCCCGGCCAAAGCGGAACCGGCCAGACCGGCTGCTACGCCGCTGCATATCCACTTCAAAATGAGCAGTCCTGCAAGTGTGTGTGTGTGTGTGTGTGTGTGTGTGTGTGTGTGTGTGTGTGTGTGTGAGTGTGAGTGTGAGTCGCCCCTGGCGTGTTTCTGAATTTGCTGGGGCGAGGGTTCCGCGACGCGGTCGCCAGGGCAGTGTCTTTTTTGTCACGACCGTTGTCGTCCTCGTCTCTCCATTTGCGGTGGTGTAGCTGACCCCCGAATGGTTTCAAACTGCGAAGCTCGGAGTACAGTGGTGGCAGAGGCATGAGCTGTGAGTGGAGACGGTTGCTGGAGATGGATAGTGATGAAGGGAGAAGAGTTACGCTGCCTGACGACGCGAGGGGAAATTGTTTGATCCTGCAATTTCAGTTCGAGCGCGGTGGACTTCTAGACGATGTGTCCTCATGGCTGTTTTTCAACGCTTGGCCTATCGCTGATATCCCTGCGTGGAATGTTCTTCCAATGGAGTCCAGGTGGGACTTCGGGTGCCCACACTCCATCACCTGGTTGATTGTTTCGGAACTGCAATAATACAGGTTCAAATAATTATTGTTTCCTTTTCGTGCGTATCTCTTGTCATCTCTCTTTTCTATACGTCGCACACCAGATGTACTACTATCGCTGTCTTTCTCCTGCTATCTCTCTCTGTTTGCTGTTTTTGTTTTTGTTGCCACTGCCCCTCATCATACCCATGCTTGGGTGGAGGGCGGCGTGACCCGTTAGGGTAGCTGTCAATACAGTACAGTGTGTGTGTGTGTGTGTGTGTGTGTGTGTGTGTGTGTGTGTGTGTGTGTGTGTGTGTGTGAGGCCGACAGTGGGAACAGCGCATCTCTTCACAGGAACTGCGAGCACAGTGGGGTGATCCCACACCATTGTCACGCATGGTGCAGCAGAGACGGTTGGAGTGGCTTGGGCACCTGGCTCGTCTTGATGACACCAGAGTACCGAAGCAGTTGCTGTTTGCCTGTCTCCCTCAGTCTCGTCCATTCTGTGGACCTCGTCGTCGCTGGAAGGACACCATTCACACGGACCTATCCGTGGCTGGAGTGCGTAACTGGTTTGTGTTGGCAAGCGATCGTGGAGAGTGGCGTGGAGTGGTGACAGCAGCAGGTGAGGACAAGGAACCTGCCCCGAAGAGCATCGAGTGCCCAACCTGCAACCGTCTGTTCCGCCGTAGTTCCGACATGGCCCGGCACAAGTGTTCAGCAATCCGTCAGCTCCCGGTATCGGAGCAGCCTGGATCAGTACAGTGTCCAACATGCAACCGATGGCTACGTAGCAGAGGAGGCTTTGCGGTGCATAAGTGTCGGCTAGGCGATGTCGACCAGCCGCCGGCCCCTGCCCCTCTTGTTGTTCCGGGTGTAACTTGCACCAACTGTCAGCGTTCATTTAAATCGGCTGCGGGTCTCAAGCGTCACCGTTGTGGAACCTGTCCAAAGCGCCCTACTGTGGCTGAACGCCAACAATTCAAGTTTCACTGCCAAGTTTGCCACAACCGACGGTTCCGGAGGCGGCAAGATCTGGAACGCCACTTGGAGCATTGCCTTCCTCCCCCCTAACCTCTCTGACAGTACCTCCCATCTGGGAGCAGCATGGCCAATCCTGGCAGCTGTCAATAGTAGTAGTAGTAGTGTGTGTGTGTGTGTGTGTGTGTGTGTGCGTGTGTGTGTGTGTGTGTGTGTGTGTGTGCGTGTGCGTGTAAGTGTGGGGGGGGGGGCAAGGTGTTTGATGAATGTACGATATGGTGTACAGAAACACTCATCCGGGAGATTAAAAAAATAGCTGCTTTATTATTTGACCGGTCACTAAAAACTAGGGGTGTGCACGAATAGTCGGGTACCCGTGCTACCCGTGAGGACCTCGGGTAGTCGGGTACAGAATAGTACCCGAAAACCCGAAGTCGCAGATGACATCGTGTACAGTGCACGTGTACAAATTCATGTAATACTCCGCATGTCTACCCAGTGTGTAAGGGAAGGGGTGCATTGTGGTGTTACCATGGAAACATTACCCGATCGGGTACCCGTGCTACCCGTGGAAAACTACCCGAACCCGATACTCGAAGAAAATGCTACCCGACTCAGCACTACTAAAAACCCAATCCTCGGAAAGGACTTGCAACGGGTCCTAGGAAACAGAAATCAGAGAATTGGAGCATTTCCTGGGTTCTAACAAGGAGGGGGCTCTACTGGACAAACCATTGGACGAAAAACTTGCTAAGCTAGCCTTAAAAAAGATGAGATTAGCACATTGGGGTTTTGATTGGCCCGGGTACCATGAACATCTTTGAGATACGAAGCTTTTAGTTGTACACCGCTCAGCTCTTTTGGAATTCTGGACCTTGACCATGCTGGAAGGAGTAGTAAAACTGCGATTGAGCATGCTTTAAATGAATCCTATGCCTCAAACATGTCAAAGAGTAGTAATAACGTCACTACAATTGAGCAGGCTCTAAATCCCTTTGAAGGCAATTTGCCGAAACGTAATAATTATTGTGAAATGAGTTGAATTATTGCAGTGTTAATGGAAGAGAGCGCGTGGGCTCCACTCTAAAACTGTCTAAATCCCTTGGTGTACTATTTTCTGAGCTCCTAGGCGAGGACAACACTGACCTCATTCTAAAACCTTGCTAGCACTTACTTGCTTCCACAACAGTGAACATGGCCGTGTGAAACAGTCTGCCCGTGGCGTCTGTGAATCGTGCCTCATAGTTGCCAAATGCGCTGGTGTTGGTGAACTCTCCTTCCATTTCACCACGCACTGTGTTCTCAGTTGGGCTGAGCAAGGACGAGGACAACAGCATAGGAATAACAGTACTGCCCCGGGAATGCAAGCTTGCATATATACACACTGGCTGTGCGGTGTGTACAGTCAGACTTCGCTTATCCGGTCCTCTTTTATCCGGATCCCTCGCTATCCGGAAGAAAATCGCTGGTTACCGAGTTACAGCATATGTCATGCATACATACAGTATCTGTGTTCGATTATCCGGTTCCCTCGCATATCCGGATATTTTTTGTGGAAAACGGATGTGTGCGGCTAAGCGAGGTATGACTGTACCAGAATGAATATGCAAAGTAGAAGTATTGGTGAAAGATTTTCCTTCTCGCTGACGACCTCGGATACAACGACAACTCACTGACAACGACACCGTCTTCAGACCCAGTGACAACTTGACTGGATACTTTCAACCTCACAAATAGGGATAGCTCGCGAAAAAATGAACGACAACACTCTTTTCACGAACGATCGGCGGTCGGTATTTGCAAGGTTGACTGTACACCATATCACCAAGAGTAGATAAACAAGAGTGTGCAACTCCGGATCTCTTCTGCAGATACCCTAGCCCACGGCGGAAATTTGTTAACGTCACGTCTTCTTTTCAGAAAAAAACACGCATTTTGCTGCGTAGCAGTATGAGAGCACATGCTGGGCACTGAACTTGTAATGTGAAGCCCAGCCAAGTGCACGAGGTAAAACTTCCCAAAAGACTCGCAGCGCGGGTGTCGTAGAAAAGATTACGTCAACAAAACATTCCGCCGTGGGCCTACCCATCCGCGAGTTGCACACTCCTGTTTATCTACTCTTGATATCACACATATCATACATGGGCCAGAAGTGTACATCATATCACACACACACACACACACAGGCAAGCAATGGATGATGTGGACTTACTACGTGGCATTTGGGATGTCGAATTCGGGCAGTACGTCCTCGATTGGCTGGAAATCTGCAGCATTCCCGTCGCCCTGTCCACCCTTTACCCATACCACGGTGGGCTGTGAGGAGGCCGGGAAGGATGGGTCTATCTGAATCTCACAGCTGAACCGGTGTATCTCACCGCGCTGTACGTACTGTGTCGCCTCTACGCAATCTAGGACCGTCACTGCAGAGGAAATAGGCACCCATGCACGCACACATATGTGTGCGCACCCAAAACGCACACACAGACACAAACACACACATAAGTTATAACTTTGTCTGCTATGATGAAACCATGATGATATATATACCGTATTTTCCCCAATAAATGTACAGTACTTTTATTTTTTCAAAGGTGATCAGACCTGTACTACTATAGGAGACTGTACTAGTATTGGAGACGTGTACTTTTATTGTTTCTGGGAAGATTGATTGCCTGGGTTGGGTGGCAAACAACTCGTGATAATGATGCTGTAAGGCTGTAAATACACCCAACCATGGTAAGAATCAGTGTACAAAGACACAATGACGATGAACGGGTAAGAAAAACGAAGTAAGGTGGACCCTGGTATCTGTACCCCACTAATGCCCATCACATCATTCCGGCATGTACTATTATTAGAGACGCGTCCTTTTATATTTTTGATCCATTAATGGGGAAAATACGGTAACATGATCACATGGTATGGTTCATGCTTAGCGAGTCCACACAGCACTAGTACCATACGAGACACCATACATACTGCACGCCTACACACACGCGCACGCACGCGCATACACACACACACACCACACACACACGCACGCACACGCACACACACGCACACACACACACACACACACGCACACGCACATACACACGCACACACACACACACACACCACACAAGTCACCATGTCCTTAAATAAACAATGATCATGGCTCCTGTGAACAAACAGGGTCAAACTCAAAGCAGACTGGACAGGGGCCGCATCAAGTCAGGTGAGAATAGATCATGTGCTACCTAAACAACATGATCTTATAAGTTAACTATGTGAAGTTCATCCACCTGATCTTATACGCATGAGGATACTTTGAAGTATATCGCCATGACAACATGACAGTACAGTACATGGTACTGGTGGACACAGCATGCAGTATGTAGTACAGGGCAGGGTTCACAGTTCACACATGACACAGGGTAATTCAAAACACGACATGTGTCCCATCATCCTGGTCAACAAGCTGTTCCGCTGACACTGCTCAAGTGCCGCTCGCGCTCATTTCAAAGATTAGTACAATCATGTACAGTGCTACCCCCGGGACTGGGAATGCACATGGAGAGTGTGAATGCAGGGGAGTGTGAATGCACGGGAGTGAATATTCATATTCGAATGCACAGAGCCGGAATCGACTTGTACAGCTTTATATCCAATGGTGAGTATGCCGTGTGCAGTGCAGGGAGCACATATGCATGTACTGTACGGTGTCTCTTCCAGCTACACGGTGTGAATGACGGTGTAAATGACAGCCTAGGGCTTCTAAGGAAGGGCTAGCCTGTAAAGTCTGGCAGCAGCAGAACAGGCAGCAGAATGTTGGAGCAGGGCTGCATGCTTAAAGGGCCTCCAGAGCTCAACATAGAGATGCTAGCAGGACGTGCTGCCTCATAACTTACTAATATAGACCATTGACGTGCTGCCTCATAACTTGCTAATATAGACCACTGTGCTTTATTCAGGGCGCCCAGACTCCACTCCACTCTATTGCACCCCAGTACAAATATTGCATCCTGCACGGATACATTCCTCTCCCTAGTTGAGGGCACTGATTTATAACATTGCAATTTAGGCAATTTCCCCTGGTGGCACAATGCGACTGACCAATCTAGCACTCAATGCTATGCCATGCCATAGCGTTGAGTAACAATGAAAGGGTAGCACTACAAAGTTATCTTTGACAGCCAATGCACTCAATTGAGGGAATTCTGATTATCGTTCTCCTTTCCCTATGCACTACAGTACTATGTAATTCATTTGCACAAGAAGTGAATGTGACAGTTTCATCCTGATGGCGTCTCTGCTGCCGTTGTTTGATTGACTGGGGTTGAAACACCTCCAGCAAGAAACAATACTTTATGTGAGGCCTGCAAGCAAGCAATGCCTGGTCACAGGGCCAGGCTACTTACAGTCACCCACTGTAAACTTGTGTAGAGTGCGTAAAGGGTGGAGTGGATCTCAACTGGTGTAACACATTCCACGTAGGATTGGCATTTATATGGGCGCCAACAGCACCATAGAGAGAGAGTGCATGACACACTAGAGCATCTACACAGTCACTTCTACCAGTGTATGTACGATCATCACTACCACACTACCAGCACAATCATGTAACAGAGTGCTCTGTCTCAGCACTCTCATGATAGCATTTCTGTTGCATCCATCCTTGTCATTACATGATGGAAATCAGGTCAAGCTGAGCTGAAGAGTGAAGGCAACATGAAGCACTGGACATAATATACTAAAGCTAAATACAACAAACCATTAATCTACACTGGGCTCAGACACTACCTCGCCAAGCCTACCTCTATTGCACACTACAACCCCAGCACCTCTTGAACTGCAAGACAATGATCTCTGTAGTAGCCCTCCACACTTGAGAACACAGCTTACCCTGAGTGCTAGCATACTCCCATACTCTATTTTTTATGTATCTTTCGCTAATAATATTATTATTTCTAAGTTTCTACGCGGCTTGCAGGTTAATACCTGGAAGGATAGTGCCAATGCGGTGTGGGGATTTGAAAGCGGCACAAGTCCAAGCCACAAAGGCAGCATGTCGCAGGGTGTCTTTGTGCCGGACTGCCACCCCACTGACTTGCATTGGCCTTGTCATGTCACCCAGGGCAGAGAAAGCTGGGCGGACAGCATTGAAGAGCCAGCAATAACTTCTCAACAGCGTCCTATCATGGGGTTTGTACGGCCAACAGGAAATCCTAAACAGACCTGGGCACACTTCTTGCTAGCAACCTGATCTCAACCTGATCTCAACCCTGCCCTCTGCACTATTAATATCTATATTCTTGGATTGCAGATAAGGGTCCTTGGGCTGGGGTGAGTGCAGCTCAATGTTCATGTAAACATGGCTATCTTACACACCACACCCACCGAAGACAAGTCACAGAGAGCGATCTTTTACTTTTTAGATTAGATGCTGCTACTGCGCTGACGACTGACAGGTTAATATCTATATTCTTGGATTGCAGATAAGGGTCCTTGGGCTGGGGTGAGTGCAGCTCAATGTTCATGTAAACATGGCTATCTTACACACCACACCCACCGAAGACAAGTCACAGAGAGCGATCTTTTACTTTTTAGATTAGATGCTGCTACTGCGCTGACGACTGACAGCCCTCCTGCCACAAACCTGTACACCATGACTGCATTGAGTGCAGCTCTCCGGAATCCGAGATAACATATTCAGGCAGCATGGCATAAATGGCCTGGCAAGCACATCCACCTGCTGTCACACAATGGATGGTCTTCCACCGGTATTCAATCAGCGTATCAGTGTTTTCCCGAACGCAATTATGTGCTGGACCGTCGCAGCCCGCGCTGTTCACTACGAATATCATTACAGTACAACCCACGTACTGACTCTTGATTTTCCGAGGCAACATTATTGGTAATCATATTTATTATGCAGGAAGGGAAGGTAAACTAGTGGTGAGTTGGACACGGTGACACGGTATGGACTTCGGCGACTGCCCATATGTCGGCAGTAGCGCTCACACGCATCCGAAAGGAAATACACTAGGGTCTAGTTGTTGCCAAAATGCAACACAAAGCGAACAAATGCGCAAAGTGACAGGTTTGACACACGCCATCACACACACTCAATAGCACGCTGGGCGGAAGGAGCCACCTCATTTTTGACATGCACCAAAAACGAATGGTGGGCCATGCATGCGAAGCTGCTGCGAAGAAGCGCACGCCTTACCTGTCACGTCTGCTTGACCAGAGGCGACGTCCAGCGTGACCAGCAACGCGCCCAACAGCGCGTAGAAACTACTTCTCCTGAATGCCTCCATGGTGTCACCACCACATCCACCACGTACTGCCAAGCGCAATGAGGCACGCTCACTCTACTATCGAGGACCGGTCGACTTTTGGACAAAACAAAATTGCTCAGATTTGTTCTAGGCGACCTGGCACCAGTGGAGCGAATCTTCCTCTCTCTCCCTTTCAAGCTCTGACCTCTCCGCTTCGATTGAACTTCAACTTATTTCAACAAAAATGTCCTGATGCACAGGAAAGCAAGAAGGCACACCAGCCAAACGCATGAATCTAAGATATTCGACTACACCCCGAAAATCAATTTGTTTACGGAGAGAAAAGGCACCGAGCTCCTACTACGTCAACTTACGTAAGTTTCGTGCCGTCCATCGACTAGCGTGGAATGGCCGAGCTGAACTGGGTCGCTAGCGTGCCGGACGTCGACGGTGCGTTCACATACACATGATACAGGGAACGCTATTACTAGCGAACCGGCGTTGCACCGGTCGACCAGTGTATAGCAAGCAGTGGATAGATTGTTGTGTTGAGCACGCAACTCAGCTGAGCGAAAGTGCCAGAGCGGCACGGACGGATCCACCATGCTGTGAGCAGAGGGGGCTCCGTACGACCAAACCATGAGTATAGCACTCAGCAACGAGAGTAGTCTCAAGTAGTTCTGGACGACATGAAGGACCCGCCAGCAGCCATCGTCACCATCGCTACTTCATGACTAAGTCTACAGACCGCTAACAGTCTAGCATGTAGCAGAGCAACGCAGTGCTCCTCGCAGCTGAGCTGGTTGATATAAAAGCGACGACAACGCCTTTCACTGTCATCTTTCCCTACCAGTGTGCCAAGGAAAATTATTTGTTGGAAAGGAAGCAGGAGAACAACAAGTGTTTTTGGCTGGCCTGGCGCGCAAGGACACGAGAGGAGTGAAGGCAGGTACCAGGGTACACTTCACCGTACAGTGCCTCCAAGCCAGTCGATACGTGGGCTGTACTCTCGCTGTTACTTTTGTCACGTGTGTGTGATCTTGGCGGGCAAACCGGAGACAGCCTAGCCCCTCGTTCTCACAGTCAGTCATATTGTAGCATGCACGGCCTGGTCTAAACTAAGGCCCGGTAAGGGCAGTAAGGATATCTACCGGAGGCACTACCCACACTCAACGAACACATAGAGCCTACTCCGGCACGGCCTGGAGACGAGTTTAGGAAGTAAAGAATAAAGAATACGACAAACTACAACAACAGTCAACTGAACTGAACTGCAACTGAACTAAAATGCACCAGAACTGACACAATATAGAGCAAGGAAAAGGTTTCATAGTAGGATATTTCATAGCCAGCGATAAGAGTTCTGAGAAGTAACAGGTGTTGAGGAATATACTAGGATTAAGGCACTTAGGTCAGGACAAGACCAATGGAAGAACTAGCTATTGGTGTAATGTGAGTAAAACGGGAGAATTGTAATGTACAAAATACGAGCTAGTGTGCAGTGTATGTAAGTAGTAAGTGCAGTCATGTAGATGTGAACGTGTTAGTGCGTGGGTAATAAGAGCTGTCAACCGAAAGTACAATGTACATGACTGTACAGTGGTGGTCAAAAGTTTTGACCCACCATGCAGATTTTTCGAATTCTGAAGGTTTGGGCTGTAAGCTACTAAATTTTTGGTCGAGGACCTCTGAATCAGGCTGAATAGTGAAGTAGAAATGAAAAATGCTGAAAGACGGAGTCATCTGGGGACTACTGTGGTCAAGTATATGTAAAAGGTGGGTCAAAACTTATGGCCAACGCCCGCACTATCATAAACCGCCAACAGGATACACGGAATAGTGTGATTTCTAAAAAGTATTCAACTAAACTAAAGTCTAGAAGTCAGTCCCGGCCTATTCCAGATACATCCACCACTTTGTAACCCCTCCCTTGGCCTTGATCATCGCTTGCATACACTGCCGCATTGAATCGACGATCTTCTTGCGCTCGTGAGGAAAAATCAACTTCTATGCCTCCCGGCACACTCGCCACAGCTCATACTGGTTTCTGGGGGTGATTTCGACATCGTGCTGCTTCAGCCCAGCAAGTTTGCAGAGATTCTCAGTTAGATTGAGGTCAGGTGGCTGCAGGGGCCATGTCAGGACGGTGATGCCGTTCACCGTCCGCCGCGCCTCCGGTCTGTTTGCGGAGCGTTTGCGGCCATAAGACACCACCCACACCACCCACAAGCTGCATCATGCTCAGCAACATCATGTTTTCGGATGATGCGAGGTACTGGTCCGCATTCATCGTATCCATCACCCGGCAAATGCGCGCTATGCCGTTGCTGGCCATGGCTCCCATACATTGATATTGCCGTCGCGGCGCTTCACAGTTTTGCGGGTGCATGTGCCAGCCAGAGCCTATCCTGTCCACCTCCTGACGTAAACTGCATCACCAGAGCCCTTGAGGTTGATTTTAGACTCATCAGTCCACAGAAATTACCACCAGTCATCACTGCTCCAGTCCTTGTGCGTCTATACAAATTTATGGCGTTCTGCCTTATTCACAGCACTGATGAAGGGCCATTTGATGGCCATACAGCCACGTAGGCCTGCTCTGTGCAACTTGCGTCTCACAGAACGCACAGAAATCGCGTTATCACCGTCGCTCACCATCTCAGCTCACAGGCAGTGACGGATTTGAGGCGATTCTCCATTGACTTCATGATATGGTGGCGATCTTGTCTTGCACTGGTCTCTCTTGGTCGGTCTGATCGAGGTGAAATGTAGTCAATTTTTGTTTCCTGACAATTCTACGTATCGTAGGATTACTCAAATCCAACAGAGGAGCGATACCACGCCAAAAGAGACCGTCAACACTCAGCTTCACGACCATTTCCCTCACATCCTTGCTAATCTGACCTCGGTTCACGATCCTGGCTGAAAATACCATCTCCGTCGTCAAAATAATCAAGTTTGATATCGCAAACTCTCAAAGTGAGAAGTCAAGTGTTGATTTTCAACTTTCCCGGCACGTGCATCAGCCTGACAACTTTTTTGAAACCGTACGGTACGGTAGAGCAAAATTTGGTCACGTGGCCATAAGTTTTGACCCACCCAAATGTATGGTGATCCATCACAAATCTCAGTTGACAACGGATTCTTGCAAATTTTAGTGTCCTTGCCAAGTTTCAATCGGCTTTGGCCTCAAAGAAGTAAAAAACGGCGTGTTTAGGAGCCAGGCTGAGCTGTACTGACGATTCCATGGGGTGGGTCAAAACTTTTGGCCACCACTGTACATGTATGTTATAAAGAGACGTGTCAGAGTGCTAACAAGTAACATAAGTAAAAAGTAAAAAGACTGTCCATGCATCATACTGACTATTCATAGTCAGTTTCAACCGCGTACCGTTTACATGCAGGATACTACATTGTCTACAACTTACAAGCAAGGTAGGGATACTACAATATCTGCGCTGCATAGCATTTAGCAGTCTTCTTTTTTGTACTTCAGTAGTTCTACTGGCACATGCAATAATTATGTATGTGCCAGACATAATCATTGCGCGAATGATATGACTGTATGAATGATAATGTCACATCATTCACGCAATGATTATGCTGACACTTGACAGTCATTATTCTGGTCATGTCATGATTGTAGAATGTTAGAGAAAAGCCTCAAAGGACTAAAACTACTAGTAAGTAGTAGTAACATATCAACGCTAGTAGTAACGTATCAACGGTAGTAGTAACATATCAACGCTAGTAGTAACATATCAACGCTGTTTTTCATGATGCATACAGTATGACACGATGTCGATGATCGTGGTGGTACGAGGACGGAGGAGTCCAGGACCCAAGTGTTGCGCTTTCGATATCTACGACTATGAGCCCGCAACATCATTACAGTCATGGCGTAGTCCACACGGGTAAGGACCCACCCCGTCCTATAATTATCCAAATAATTAATTCCAATCCACAGGAAAGAGAATGAGCCGCGGAGCATTCCGCCAACAGTCTTGTAGTCACGTGATCTCAACGACGTCAACAATTGAGCCAACCATCATCAAATTCACAATGCTCAGCAATGACCAACAATAAACTTATAAAGGTCACAGTTCAGAATGTGGACTGGTTTCGCATTGGTATTGCAGCGCATCGTGATCCACGCGGCACAGGTTCTAGTGCATAGCAGGACTAGTCGACTGCTAGCCTAGCACACATTTTTTAAATTACAATCATTGTACATGACAGTCATGACAGTGATTGTATCAAGCAAGGTTACCATGGTTATGTCCCACCTTCCAACCCGGCAAATATTTAGATTTTGATAAAAACGATTCAAAGCCTCTCAATTATAAAAAATTTGTAATACTTGAAGTAGAAATATAAGAATAATCAGACTTTTCCCGTTTGTCTCTTTCCTTCAAAGTAGTGAAGATAATAATAATAATTATTATACTTTCACACAAAACAAGCTCGGTGCAGCACTAATCACGGCAAGGGAACCCGACCCTCCACCATCGCCAACTCACGAAGCATGTGAACTGGACGGTGACGGGCCGACCGAGCACCCCGGACACACAATACAGCGGAACGTAGCAGCGCGAAAGACACCCGACAGCGATAGATAGCATCCCATCAACGACGAATAGCTACCTCCCGAAGATTGAGATGTGAGCAGGCAAAGGCGCCTGAGGAAGGCCATGGATGCCGGCGCAGCTGCCCCATTCACGGAAAACACTAGAGGTTATGGTTATGTACTCTTGATTATACTTCTATGTAGCAATGACTACGCTGTTGTGAATTCCAGCAGAAATCCCAAGAGAGCTCGACACCGGGAAGGTAGAGCCGTGACACACTAGTCAGAACAACAGATGGCCCGATCAGTCACAACTTAAAGTTTCATGCCATCTCAGGAACTCATCAGGTGATATCACCTGATGACTCAGTGATGAGTTCCTGAGATGGCATGAAACTTTAAGTTGTGACTGATCAGGCCATCTGTTGTTATGTACATAATGTCATTGTACAAAATGTACTACCAGGACTACTACTACTACTACTAGATATTATGCTCCATGTGGCCGTGAAGTGTTACCGTGAGCCGCAGTCACTGCACGGTACTATCAAAGCATATCATATTATGTTTACCATAGCGCAACTAAAAAGCAATGCGCATCTACAAAGAACGTAGACGGCACTCGTCCAGGAATATAAACTTAAAGCCCCGGGTCGCCTACGTACACAAATATGAGGCCCGGCAAACCGCGGAAACAGGTTGCGAACCACCTGATCTGACCAGAACGAAAGACATCTAAAGCTCGCAGACATTCACGCCCACGGAGGCCATTGGTACTGAAGAATACTGTGAATGCACCTCTCTCAACATTCACTATGCACTGTAGATATGCTCTCTTCTTCTGTCTTTCATTCCTAGACATCAGTGGCGGGTTTAGGGGGGGGGGCGCGGGGGGCGCGCGCCCCCCCCTCAAAAATTTCGACCTAGGTTTCCAAAAATAATCTGTCCCTCCAGGAAATCGCGATTCCACGGATGCAACAAATTCCGCGATTTTGGCGATTTTCTGAAAAATCCGCGATTTCCCGCGTTTTTTGTTGTTTTCTGCACTTCTTTTTACATTCCTATGCACTTTTCACGCAGTATATAGTGCTTTCCATGATTCTGTACGTAGGTTATTTGCACAGTACGCAAATAGCGATTCTAAGGATGCAACAAATGTTGTGATTTGGCCCAAATCCGCAATTATCTGCCAACAATTCCGCGAGTTCCTGGCAAGTTCCGCACTTTTCGCCGCATTTTTTGTTGTTTTCTGCCGCAATTTCTTGCGCAAGTTTTCGAGGATTTTTTCCGCAAATTCCCGCAGGGACAGAATAATAGGCAGGGCGCCGGGTCGAGCTAGACTAGGCT